AAGAAAAAAAAATGTTATTATAGGGGGGGGGGGGGGGGGGTGGAGGGTGTGACTATGTGTGCATATATATATATGTATATAAAAATAAAAAAAACTATATATGGATTTCCAACCACATGGCTCATCAACCTCTAGCTGATTTGGGTTCTATTAAGAGTGCTGAATGATGAACTGGATGTCTTGAAAATCTATTACTAAATATCAAGGGAAAAAAAAATAAAAAATGAGAAACATTTTTCCAACAGTTTTTAAGATTACATATAAAACGTCCATGAGGTCTTCTGAGCATTTAACTCACTCTCCCATAAATTTCCCCAGAAGGGAAGGGACCCAAGAATGCAGAAAAAGGGGACACCTTTTTCTGAATACTGGTGGTGGGGACAGGGGGGTGCATCCCTCTGTAAGTGTGACAGGCTTGCAAGCGAGGTGTCCTCCGCTTACCTAACAACTCCATAAAAGGCACAAACTGGCCTGAAATGCAGTGTTCAAACCACACATAAAATACATGTTTTTATATATATACATATACATACGTATGCATGTTTATGTATGTATGTATGTATTGCCACAATAATCAAATAGCTTTCCTCTTAGAAATTTAGCTTATACTGAAGAGCACTTTTCACCTCACAGAGATGAAGGCAATTCCTAACATTTAGAAAGAGACTATGCTAACCACTTATTTGGAAGAAAAGGAGAAAAGGTAGAAGGATGCAAAGATAAAGGTCTGCTGCCACAAATCAATCTGCTCTCCCCTCATGGAAGAAGAACTCTTTATGCCAGCTCCGAGATGTTTCATAGCCTATTCTTAACTCTTGCATACTTGCTCCTTGGACCTAGGCCCTATGAAAATTGTCAGCTTTACTGATCTGTAAATTTAGCCTGCCGTTCAGAGGAATAATTCTTCAGTGTCTCTGTTCAGAAGGAACGGGTGACCGGCCAGACTTAATGGAATTATCAGTATTCATTATCTTTCTAATCCCTTTGTCATCTGATTTTTTTAAAGAGATTTTATACATTTATGGGGGGTGGGGGGGGGGATAAGTAATATCAGAACAGTGGCCAATGTGTTAAATGACAGGTTATTTGAAAAATATCCAGAATATTTGGAAAAAATGTGCTAAAAAATATTTCTCATTAAAGAAGCTGCCAAAAAATAATGTCTCAGAAAAGTAATTTTATCATGAAGAAGAGCTGGACTCAGCATAAGGAAGAGACTGTCTGATTAAAACTATCTGTTTAAAATATGCAGATATAGCTAACGTACATACTTTTGTAGTCTGAGTTTGATGTCTCCCTTAAACCTCTTTAGGATCTGGCCTTGTATATACTGCACAATCTGAATATTAGTTTCTCTGAGCTTCTCCGCTGCATGGTTTTTTCTCCAAATCTCCAAGTTAGAATTAGAGAAAAACTACAGGAGTATCTAGTAAGGGAAGCTACCGATCATTCCTTCAGCTGTGTTTATTTTTTTCCTTTTCTTTTTTCATTTTCATATTTAAAAATTCACTCTTAATTGAGGTGAATGTCCTAAGAATGAGTTGCAGGAGATGCGAAGCTGAGTGTTCTCACAACATCTGCTTGGAATTAAAAGATAGGAATCATTATTTATACTCAGAGTGAATATGTAATAAATCTATCTCACTTTATATATGTCTTGACAAGAGCCAGTCTGTGCAGCTGTGTCACATTCTTGGTGCTTTGAAGGGGTATAAAACAATAACAAAATAGGTTGCACACCAGAGGATTTTTTCCTTCATACCGGGATTTTTACCCCCATTGGACTACCAATGTGACAGAAAAATCCAGAGAAATTTTACAAGATTTACTGAGCTTCCTCCTGACCTGTCACATCATCACTAGGCAGTTTTTATGTTAGTTACAGAAATCCAAGACAAGGAACGGAGAATTTCAAAGCATCATCATTTCCATGATAATTTTTCAACCAAGGCAAGGTTTCTAATTTTTACCCAAAGACATGTTACTCTAATAAATAAAAGAAAGAAGTAGGCAATATCAAGTGTTTGCACTGTGATAAAAATGCCACTCTTCAAACTAAGAACTGTCCAGAAGGATGAGGAAAAAGAGCTGTGTCTATAGCTACGTGAAAATAAGATTCAATATGGCACCAAGGCAGTCTGTACAACCATCAAAGCTCCAGCAAACAGGAGAAGGTTCCAGAAAAAAACTACTTGTATCTTCAAACTACTTCCCTGATGAAAACTTCAGGAGATAAGGAAAATACAAACAAAGACAAACATAGCCAGGAAGAAACAGCTCACTACCTGTTTCCCTCTGTTAAATGCCCTTTCCCAGGTGAAATAAAATATCTATGTGTGCAAGCTGCAAATGAAGAGAAAAAGACCCCAAACTATCAGGCCTAACAAGTTATGGTTGACTGTCTGTTAAATACAGGTCTGAACCTGTCTGATCTGGTTTCATATGAGGGCTCCCCGTCATCCTTGTTAGACGTCTAAACCAGTAGGGTGGTTTGTGTTTTGTTGCAGGTCCTGTTCTCCTGATTATCCATACTACACCTAAGCTACACTGCTTCTGGGATCTTTCTGGAGCGGGACAACAGGGTCTCACTCCAGACAGAATCCCACTGTGGATCAGTATCAGTAATCCCACAACACATCAACTGTGGTACCACTCCAGCGGGCAGCACAGAGGGGACTGTGCCAGGTCTTGTTGCCTCTGTCCAGGCTAGTTCTCCAACTCTATGCTAGCAGGTCCGTGGCCTTTGCGCAACATCCCTGTACATCGTGTTGGAAATGCATGAATACAGCAAGATGAAAGTCTCATTAATTGAAAACGTTATAAAAATACTAATTGGAAGTATCTTTAACTTAAAATTTAAATTTTAAATTAAAATTTTTCTTTAAATTAAAATTTTTCAGGCTCAGGGAGGGGACGTCTGGGACACAGAGGAGAGCATCTAAACAACTTTCATTACAAGCTGAGATTCCCGATTCCAACTTCTTTCAGCTTTATTTGCTAGAACACCCCATCTACAGTTTGATGAAAGCTGTTCCACGTGTGAGAGCCTCACCTGTACACAACAGCAGGGATACGTTTCCAGGACCGAAAGCTTGCCACACTCTCTAGCTCTTTATCCGTGATCCAGGCGGGAACTATGATTTCCTGTGGGTAACTACCACAGAGCCTGTGAAAAAAGTGGTGAAAGGGACTGAACGAAAGAAATACGGAGCAGTTAAAGGCTTCCCAGACAACAACAACAAAAAAGAGTATAAGCAACCTGACTGATGTTCATCTCAGCAAGATAGGCAATTTTGTTAATTCCTGATTCACTGTATGTTAATAAACTCTTTAGTAGACATAAAAAGCACTATGAACACCAAGGTGCACAAATCCGTTTCAGAATTTGAGGATTCAAGTTGGAGCTTCCTCAGGGAATTGTTATGTTGCTGATTTTGAATTTCAGCAAGTGAAATAAACTGGACCACAGAAGAGAAATTCCTCATCTCCCAATGCTAAAGAATTCATCACTCAATTTCCTGGGTCACAAAACACAGAAATATAGCCATTTTGGGCTACTGGATTCACGAGAGGAAACTCACGTGAAGCGTAAATTAGTACATTGGCTAATCAACCCCCTGTGAAGGCAGGAATCTGAATGGGCCGGCTCATGCATGACTGGCTAACTGGCACTTGCCTATACTAGATGCATCTTTACTCCATAGTTTAACTAAGGAAGGAATGACTGCCAAGAATGCAGAGAGCCTGTATGAAGAGCTGGAATAGTGCAAGCAGTCAGTAGTGACTCCAACATATTGCTGAATCGTAAACCTCATCCCCACTCCAAACAGGCAATAAAATGAACAGAATCATCCTACGGGACAGATAAGCACAATCTCACATCTGGACTGAATGTCAATTCTGAGACTGCACAAAAATACTATTTTCCCTACTTAATCAATAGTTGGAGGGAAACATTAAGAACAGGGCATAAAGTCAAGGTTATAATTCTAGCAGAACTGAATTCTCAAATAATAAAATGTCCTGCATTTTGGCTGTTCTTCCAAGCTAAGCTAAGAAGAAAGATCTTTTAACAAAACGCGAGTAAAAGAAGTGAGAAACAACAAAAAATCAGCATTGTCTGTTGCTGATCCTATCTAGTTCTCAGTTCTGGCCTGTAGACAGAAACACTTTTTGCAGCTCATTCAAATGTAAAATCACTAACGGGAGAAAGTCTTTAAAACACAAAAGAGTATCTCCTACACCTCCTGTATGTTACTAAAGAAAAGCAGGTATTTTCCCGCAATGAGGTTATATGCAGTAGAAGCATTTTAAAAAAGATGTATTTACTACATAAGGACAGACTTGATCATATGACTATGTCTACTCAGGAAAAAAAATACAAATTGTCCCGAAAACACTCTTTTCTCAAGTGCTGGCCACAAAAAGGAAAGAAGTGGATTTCTGTCATCCTGCTTCCATATGACATACAAAGTTTTCTTCTTTTTTCTTAAGTACCAAATAGGTAAGGAATAGCTATTTTTTCTTCGCTAGATTTGTTGAGACCTAGACAAACATTCTCTTTGCAGTGTCACCAGCCGTCAGCTGCAAGTCATTATCCTGCAGACAGTGGAATGAAACAAGTCTCAGTACAAAGTTTAAGTGCTGTTTCTGCACTGAATGGGATTAGGGGTCAGCCAGGACACTCTGTCCCGCCAGCTGCGAATGGACCAACACCTTTATCTGCTTCAGCAGAAAAAGGAGAGGTCATTTGCCCACGCTCTCAGAAGTAGAGAGTTTTCCCTGTCACAGTTTGTGGGTCTACATGCTTGACCCTTCAAAACTGACTTTTTTTAACAAGTCTTTGTCATAAGTTAGAGAATAAGACATGTTAAAAAAAGTTGTTAGAAGTTCAATATAACTCCACTCTTTGCTCACTTAAGGCTTTACTGTCTTGCGTTAGAATAGTTATTCTCTAGGAAGTCCACCAGCAAGCACATTAAAATCTGATATTTCTAAACCTACCAAAATTTTAACAGCTAATATAGTATTAAATACTACCATAAAAGCAGATTCATGCTATAAAACATCAAAAAATCATAATTCCAGCTGTCCCTTTTAAGTGCTTCAGAACTTGGAAAAAGTTCCAGTAATCTGCTATAACAGAATTGGTGCTGCGAGATGACATTTGGCTGTGAATCAGCAGCCTATATAACTTACTTGTATTTCTCATTGATGTTGGAAATCCTCCAGGCATTGTTCATATCAAAACCCATCCGCTCAACTTCATTTTTAAACCTTGAAGTTACATGTTCTCCTGGGTATCAAAGGCAGACAGAGGAAATAAATGTGAAATACCTAGTAAGATTCCTACCTTTCAAAACAGCTAGAGAAAGACACCACTGCATTCATACTTACTAAAAAACTGAAAAGAGAAAGGAACTGTCCAAAATGAACTGTTGACATTTCACAACCCTATTCTGAAAATCTCTATCAAGCAAGAGTGCCACAGTTTGTCCTGACAGCTCTCACTGGTCAGGTCTTCAGAAACTGCAAAATCCATAAAGAACTTTATCTCTGAAATGACCAGTTTCTGTACGTTCATAGAAGAAACACAGTAACACTGCAGACCAGAAGCAAGCACATCAGCAAAAGTGAGAGGTATTTAGAGCCACCAGCAAATTCAGTGGGAAAATGCTAGTAGTTTCTCTTTTCCAAAGTTGTGAGTATTGTATGTGAATGTGAAGCTCTAGTCTGATGTGAAAGGGTAATATATAGGATGCGGCCTGCAACTTAGGCAATCTTAATCTAATATGCAATTTCAGCCACAGGCTTCCTGTGAGACAAGGAATTATGGATTTAGACAAGGAATTAAGGATTATGGGGCAAACCCCATAATTTGACCTACATCTCAGTTTTCCATCTCTAAATTGGAGACTATTCTTCTATGACTCATAGCAGAGATGCAAAGATAAAACGCATAAATGATTGTTAGGCACAAGCATCAGTCACAAGGCCCTTGCAAATTCCTGGATTAATATAGCAAAGGAACTGGAAAGAGTTCCATTCATTTTCTGGACACTTTTTAAAAAGCATCTAAATGCAGCTGAAAAAATACACAGGGAAAAATTATTCTGATATACAGAAAGTCTAGAGAATTACAGTGTACTCACAGGGCACAACACTATAACTTGTGCAGAATTTCCGGATTCACAGAGTTAGGAAACATAATAAATCTAATGAATGTTTGAGCATCAGTAGATAAAGCAATTCTGAAAGTCTGTTCATTGCTGGTCTCTTTAAATTACTGTTTCACTATATCATGAGACAGAGCATCAATCAACAGGGGAAAAATCTATTGAATAATTAATGCTTTCAGTATCACACATTTCTATTATGTATTTCAGAACACCCTTAAAGTCCTTAAATATGTGAGATATATAAATATAGACACATGTATCTGAAAATGTAAATGTACCTGTCTGAAACCTAAATTTTTTATGTGATCTTACGAAAGACTTACAGATAAATATGGAAAAGCAGGTAAATTAAGAGTAAAAACAGCAGCCTAATTACAGGAATTGATTAACTCTGAAAGAGAAAAGCTATTCATTGTTATTCATTGTTATAACATTGCTGTATTATTCATGAATAACATATTCATGTTATTCATTCCTACACGTCAGATCCTACGTGGAACATGACACTCTGCAAATCTAGACCATGCTTTACAATATGGTCAACGTGCAAAGATCTGCATAAGGGAAGGCGGATAAGATTATTTTTCTTATGCTTTTTGAAAAGTAAAATGTGAGGACAACCTTTTGTGCAAATGGAGACTATTTCACGCTCTTCAAGATCTACAGTGATAAATACTTGGGACCTGACTGACCATCACCACTTACTCCCTTTACATCATGAAACTGGTACAAAAGCATCATAAAAATGAAATAGTTCTGGCTCCTGGGTTGGGCCGCTTCTGCAGAAGGCTCCTCTCAGGATTGTACAGGCACTGTAGCTCAGCTTTACTTTCCCTATGACCAGATCAATTAGACTGGAGCTTGCCAACTATTTCCTGCTTCTCAAATGGACTCTTATATTCGGCGTGACCTTGAATTTATTATCTTCTAGCCACCTACTCATCAAGTATACCGGCTCCCTTTTTCACAAAAGTTGGATGGTACCACATGGTACTATACCATACTTGACCTTTTGTCAAGTGCAGAGGTGAAACTGTGAAAATACATTCTGGCCAGGCAACAACCTCTGTCATGTTATTCCTCAGCAATGAATTTTAATTTTTTAACTTTGTATTGGCACAGCAGTACGCAGCATGTTCTTTCAGCACAGACGATAGGCTTCATTATCAGCTACTGTGAGGAAGTGGTCATTAAAACTTGTGATGCATGCTCAAGGACTTTTCTGATAATAAACGATAATACTAGAAATAGCCCCAGCCCTCAGTGCTGCATACTGCTCATGTGTTTTAGGGAAATATATGGAACCACAATTACTTTTGTGCTGAAGACCCTGGAAGGAAAATGAAACATTCTGCTTGATTTCTCCCTCTAATTTTCAGCTACTCCGCATGTCAAGAAATCACAGATTCGCCACTCCCTAAGAAATAAAACCTTAGCTTTAACATTTTGCCCTTTCCTCCTGAAATGCTGGCATTTTAAGAAGGATTTTGAGTCAAGCTGGATAATCTAGCGTTTCCTAAGTACCCCAAACCAACTCTCAGAAACAGAAAAAACAAGCTATATATTTTGTGGACCTGTGCCTTCAAACCATAAAAGCTGATCTTGTGAGCCATAATTCAAATCAGCCAATACATACATTGATAAGATTTAGATTTTTTTTTCACAGAAGGTGATATTTAGATAGATTTTGAAAAAATTTAGTATTTTATGTCTATTTTTGTCCGATCAAATACTGGACTGCTTTCATGTAAAGAAATAAAATTATAATGCCTTGGATTAACTTCTTCAACTACACTCCCATGAATTTATTTTAACTGCAATTCAACTCTTTATAGGAGGATAACATCTACCACCAGAAATAAGCAAGCCACAGAGAAGAAAAATTTACTAATTCAAGACACAAATTATTTGTTAGATACACTCCAAAGAAAAAATGTTGATTTATAAATGTCAATCAAGAAGTAAATGCTATGTCATGTCCTAAACTAACATTAGATCGAAGCCTGTCTGTTGAGTAGGGAAGGGTAGGCTTCCACAAGGGGACTTGGTAAATACATCACTGTTTTTCTCTTCCCATTTCTGGAGAATTCTGGATTTCAGTAACAAAGAGGCAGTTACTAGTCAAAGCACGCCTGATGATAGTCAAAGTGTTTCCACATACCTGGCCGACACAAATCCCCGTGTTGTTCTTTTTCACTGGCGTACACTTCCATACACCAAGCGTGATAGGCAAATGAAAAAAGGTCTTCTATCTTTGAAGGTGGGCGGATGGCATTGTTCAGTCGCTTAAGCCAATCTTGACACTGCTCAAAAGTAGAGAACTGACACCTGTCCCAGAATCAAACATTTTTCTATCAATTTTCAGTCAAAGATATCAGACTACAAGATCTGACAAGTGGATCTAGGAAAACTTCTGTGAAAGCTAAAGATGACAATAAATATCTTCTTGAAAATGTAGTTCTGGTTCTAGGTACATTTTAATGGGTAGAAAAAATGAAACATTTATTAGTAAAAATACATATACTACGAAGTCAAATTAAACTGTAAGCATGAGAGCAATGATCTGGGATTGTGAGTAAACCAGTACGCCTTACTAGTCACGAACGAGCAAGATATTTATGCACGTGTCCAGTTGAAAATCAAGGACAATATCACTGATTTCAGGATGCAAATTTCACACCCAGGAAATGCGTTACTGCATCTTGCTGAACAGTGGTCTCAGATGGGAACTAAATCTCAAAAACATCACATATATTATACCAATGTATCATATTCCTGCAAGCAAGAATGCACTTTCTGATCAGACATAGAAGAAATATCCATTTGAATCCACTTACTTTGAGAACGCTGAGGACAAATCCCAGTACCTGAAATGTTATATTATTCCCCTACCTCATAAGCTACAATGCTGTTCCCTGGCCTTGATGGCAAGTAGAAACAATGCTTTGGGATCTGAGCTTTGCCTAATATTACAGACTAACAACAAACCACCAAGAAGATTCCCTGCACAGGAGAGACTAATCTTCAAAGCAGTTTATGAAAATGACATTAGCGTGTCTTTTCAAAGAGGATTCCTGGGCCCTCGAGAACAAAAGGGTGGAAACAAAATTAGCAATTTATTTTTCTCTGACAGATTTCCTCAAGATTTTTTAGTAATAAAACATGCACCAAGTATTTACATTCATGGTTAATGAGAGCATCTAGGGTCTCTAAGGGCAGGGTTCATCACTCCCACCTGTAAATAGCTAAAAGTCATTCAGTGGAAGGAAAATACATGTCCAACTCACGCTGTCTTAAGAAATGTGTCTAAAATAGCTGGGAGGAACTGCTGCCTGGAAGTATTCTCTTCACTGACTATAAAGCGAGCCCAGACTACTAGCTTATATTGGATAATTATCTTTTACACGGCTATGATTAGATGAGATACAGCTCACTCTAAAGACTGCATTTTCTTTCTAAGTACTGGAGTTCCTGCAAAAAGCTGCAAAATTCTTACAGTGTTGGCATTTTGTCATTTTCAACACTAGCTTCACTTGAGCATTTATATTCAAAATAAAAATTATTTTGTCCATGAAAAATAACATAAGTGTGTTTTAAACTTGGCATCTTGGCCCCACGCTTCATGACCTTCCAGTGATCAGTGTCAGCAAGTACTAATTTCTGGAGTTATGATTTTGAAGGGAATTTCATAAAGGAGGGGTTATATACAAATAATTTGTATTCATTCTACGATTTAAGAGAAATAACAAATTAATGTAGATAGGAAGGCTGAATTTTCAAATGTCAAGAGCTACAAGTTAAGAGGAAGTTCAATATTTAATTCAAATTGAACTAAATATTACTTCTAAAGTAAAATCAGTCCTCATCAAAATACAGCATGTCAGGAGGCAGCTGGCCTGTTAAACATTCTCAGTGCTCAAATATGGCTGGAGCTCATTTCATTATACAAAAGGTGCTGCCAGCAAACATTTAATCAAAAAGAAATGTTCCTTTCTTGTTAATTAAAGTTTATAGATCAATATTAATTTCTCCAGCAGAAAAGTAGGAAATAGTAAAGCTCAAAGGCTTCTGGGGCACTCTGGAAGACTGCTGAAGGAGAGAAGCAAATTAATACTCCCTTCTGCATGATGCCGTCTGCTTTGCTCTGCTGGCTAGCAGGGTGAATTGCAGCCCTGGCTCTACCTCACTGCTAGACTTCCTTTTTCAATAAGCCACCTACATCTTAAGGATGGTCTCTGCACCCTCACAGCTGTTAGATGTGCAGGGTGGCTGACGCTATCCAGGCTGAAGGTTTCAGGTAGAACTGCACAAGCTCATAGCATAACTCCTCAAACCTCAAATCTTGATTAAAAGCTTTTGTCCAAAAACCTGTGTGTTTCAGTGGTTTATAGCCAGTTTTATATCTTGTAACTAACATTAGATCGTAAGGCAAGGAAAACGCAGCGAGACTGAAATTAATTTCTGAATAAAATAAGAACAGCCACTTCGGGTCAGACCAAGACTTTCTGCTACACTATATGGCAGCGAGCAACAGTGCAGACTGTATTACCCCCACCCCCCTCAAAAAAAAGTCCAGCTACCCTAGACAAAAAGGACAGGAGAAGATTTGCAGGGGAAAATAAGTGCACGAAGGAAGAAAAAACATTTCCTTAGAAATGTCACAGATGGCGTCAGCCTGGGGAAAGCAAAGTTGCACCCCGTTCAACATTCAGCATAGACATACCTTATAACTTTGCAGTCTTTGCAAGTCAAATGAAGTTGAAATATATCGCGGCACTCAACACTTTCTATAAGCTGTAATGGAACCTGCAATTAAGAAGATTATATAATTTTATTTTGAGGCACTAACACTGTAATTTCTTGGCATATCTCACAAGGATTTATTATAGGGCTATGTGGAGAGAGAAAAGAGAGAGAGAAACAAAGAAAACTCTTAACTATCTACTTCAACAGCTCTGAAGTAGTACGGTACCAGGTATCAGTCAAGTTCCTAGTTCCATTGCTAGACAGTCTATGTACTTTAAGGGAACACAGGAAACTGAGACCACATGCCGAATCAAGGAGAAGAGTGCAGCAGCAGTAACATATGTCAAGCAGCAGGAACCCACAAGTTCCTCTCTCAAGGAAGCATCATTCCTTCTCTCTTACAGGTCCCAGTTTAGGGATTATGTGAATATAATTTTAGATGTTGGAGTCAAAAATGAAAATGCTAAGCAAGATTCCCCTTGACAGGCCGCTACATTCAAGATGCTTGTTATATGAAAATCACAGAATCACAGAATCGTTTAGGTTGGAAGGGACCTCTGGAGATCATCTAGTCCAACCTCCCTGCTCGAGGAGGGTCCTCTAGAGCATATTGCCCAGGATCACATCCAGACGGGTTTTGAATATCTCCAGGGAAGGAGACTCCACTACCTCTCTGGGCAACCTGTTCCAATGCTCAGTCACCCTCACAGTCAAGAAGTTTTTTCTCAGGTTCAGATGGAACTTCCTGCGGTTCAGTTTCTGCCCATTGCCTCTTGTCCTGTTGCTGGGCACCACGGAGAAGAGGCTGGCCTCATCCTCTTGACACTCCCCCTTCAGATACTTGTACACATTTATGAGATCATGTATCATGTATATCATGTAATTTCCTCTTTAGGAAAAATCATTTGGCCTGCATAGATTGAGACTTGTGATCAAAGCAGCCATATTCAGGGTAATAAAGCTGAATCTTTCATTTTTAAAGGTGCAGTTATATACGTTGATGTTTTATGGTACATGTGACTAGCAGAAGCTTGATGAGGCAAAACATGTAAGTCATGCAAGTCCATTTAAAGATGGAAAGCAAGAGACCACAGGATGAAAATACTAGCGTTCACTAATATTTTTGCTACTTTACCTGAGGCAGCCAAATGTACACTGTTGTCTTAAGTGAATACAAGTTAGTATTCAACTACCTAGTACGCAATTGTCTTAATTCCAAATACAGTTAAAACATTTAGTTAACATTTATAACAGGAAGTGAAAAACTGTTTCAAATATTTATTAGAGATTATATCAAACATTACAGGAAGGCAATAAAACCTCTGTCACTGAGATTCTTCAATACAAAGAGAAACATTCACAAACACTGTTGTTTTCTTTGTCATCAGAGGAGGACGATCCAGGGACCTGACTCACAGCTGCACATCCGGTACTCCTGTCCACTCAACAGTCAGAGTCCAGATTCACTAGAGCTCACAATTCCCCAAATACAACAGGCAGATACTGTCCTAATGCTCATCTTTTATCCTTATCCTTTAGACAGCCTTCAGCCAGGAAGCAGTGCTGGACTCTCCCCAGCTAGAGCAAGTTCTAACCCTCATCTCCTATTACCAGCCAGGCTGGTACAGGTAAGTTAGTCTCCATTCCTCTTGGTGAAACTGGGCTGCTAAAGAATATGAAATTTATGCACAAAATGAATAGACAAGATGGGGTCTGACTTGGTAAGCCAGTTGTTAGGGGATTCAGGTCATTGTTCGCAGTTTTATTACTGTTTTAAAATCTGGAATAGTCTAATATGAATGAAATAACCAGCAACAGGAATAAGCAACCGAACTGAGGATTTCCTCCTCTGAGATAAGCCCCTATCTACAAACTACAAACTCATACCCCCTCTCTACTTGCCATCATTAAGCTGAACTTGATGGCAGTAACCCAGCTCTAGTAGAACAAGCCAAGAGCGAGGATAATACAGTGAAGGCTCGGATAGGCTTGGATACCAGTGTAACGAAGATAAGCATTACAGACAAGCAGATCAGCGGTGCTGTTGCTCTAGTGAATCTTTTTATTTTAACTAGTAATTTCTTCTGTTCCTTCTCCTATTGATTTTAGCCTGCAGGGTAGATGAATTATTGTGATAGTTTTGTATAACAAAGACTGGAACGGATCTAAGACTGGAGAATGCTCCCATTCGTCGTTCCACATCGGACAGCCTCATATAACGAGTTACTTAAAAGGACCGTTGACTTATACGGTTTCTATAGGGAAAGTAAGATACCTTTCCCTGACTAAAAGAATTGAGAATCTAGAAGATTTCCTTTTTTTCAGCCAAATGCGCCTTCTCTGTCAAAATTCTTTTTTTTTCCAAGCCTTCTTTTATCGCATTCCTTCCAACGTCCATCTTCGTTTAAGCAGCAGTTTTTCACCATGCTCCCTACTCCTAGCAGCTTAGTTCTGTCTCCTGTTCCTGTCTGCACTCTAATGACATAGTAACTATATTTCTACTTTCAAGACCAACCCCTGCATCATTTTTAATTTCCTTCTTTCAAAGTCATTCTTTGTTCTATTCCCTTCCAATTTGCCCCTTGCTCAACAGCCATTCTTTACTCTCTTGACAATTTACATACTGATCCCTATCTATTTCCTTACAATCTGCTGTTTTTTCTTCAGGGCAACCTTCATATCAGTCTTTTTAATTTTCTTTTCTGGTCATAAAAATCTATCCTCTGATCCTCTTCCATTTTCATCTTTTCAATCTCCTTCCTGCCCATTATTCTTCTCCCAATAAAGCTGTGTAAAATTATCGACCTTCATTCTCCCATTCTTTCCCACAGATAACCTCCCATTTCCATTGTTAAGTTTTTCAGGCTGAAGCACGCAGCAAATCAGACATACTCAGTGCAGTTAGCTTGCTCGTTCAAGAGCCATCAGGTCTATTTGCAGGCACTTCACCGTACAATAATGTCTATCTAAATAATGCAGTGGAAAAGCAATCATTTGGGGGTTTATATAAACAAACGTGCATTGTTAGCAAAGGCCAACCCTATCACGTTATAGAGAGCACTGCAGCATCATGCTCTTGCAATACCTGTCTCTCTACTGTCTCTTCTTAAATTATCTCATTTTAAACACTAGCAACATTTTACAAGTCCAACTTTTTTTTTTAATTAAATGGGAGGGTTGAATTTTTTAATTACTGAAGCTGGCTGTGATCTAACAGCAATAAAAGATATATTTAGAAAAAAAAATACCTCTATGTTTAGAAAAAGCAAAAGTTATGTTTACACTGCTGAAACCATCCATCCCATGGCTCAATCCTTGGCTGCCAGGTCAAGCGGCATCCAGGGCACCATGTCTATGTTGCTATAAGCCAGTCCCTTCTAGAGTGAACGCGCTATATACTCTACTCTGTATACAATTTAGTCTGAGTCTCTCCGAAATACCATGTTGCATCCAGTGGCTTTTGGGCTGTAACTAGTAGTTCTTTGTGGTTTTCTTAGTTCAGAGCCTTAAAAAAATGTCAGGGTTATGTTACAGACTAGTTATTTTCAACAGCATGAGGTGAAGGATGTGTTGCATGTCCTGAAGCATGGTATAAAGATATAGGAGGTGCTGAGGGTGCAAGGTCAGCTCAGAAGTTGTCAGAGGACTCTTCTAGTTGGAAGGAGTCAAATTCTTCCTGGTGCGATCCTGTCTGTTCAGCCTACTAGGAGTACCTGAAGCAAATTATGCCTTGACTCACACCTAAGTTAAACCTAGGTTTCGTCTTAGAGGGAATCATTTAGCCCCCGCCTCCGCTTTCAAGACTGGCCTAACTTCCATGCAATGTGGACAATCACAAGACCAGGAACTGGGAATAAATCAAGGACTGAGTTCAGTACAGATGAATTGCCACCTTGATACATAAGTAAGATGGGGAGAACAGCAAATGAACCATCTTTCAAGTAAAGATGAAGCAAGGAAAGCTTACACTGAAATTCATGTAATCTCAAAAACTGAAAACCTTCCTCATCTTGCCAGTAGGACTATTTTTTTTACTGTGACCAAAATCAACTCTTTGAAAGAGGTTACATTCAAATTTGCAGTTTCATAAACTACGCTGAAATTTTAATTCCCCCATAAATGCAATTAGCTTAGAGGGAGCAAAATGAGACAGAAACACTTCCCAGCTGCAAAGTCTGAATTCTTTCTTAAGGAAAGCCAACCAACAGAGATCAGCCTGGGAACCGAACTTCTGATTTGCATTGAGATATCACTGTTGAGTCTGCATTTTTATCCCATGGATTAATAAAAGTCAACACTTTTGAAAGCCATAATCCCACCAAGTTATGTGTGGTCTACTGGATCTTTTCTCCTTGCATCTATAACGCTGTGTTCCTGTTACTACTCTGATCTAGGAAATAATCACCCATTGAAAGGATTCATGCATACAGCTCTTTTCTGCTGTGCTGCAAGGTGCACATTATGAACATTTAAATTTATTTATTTTTCAAGCACCGCTACAGTAAGTGATCTAGCAGCATTGTGCTACTTACCGAGGTTTCACAAGCATCATTTTGATAGCCAGTCTACTGCATTGTAAACAAAATGAGAACAACAAGGCAAAAAAAAAAAACCACTAGGAATCCATTTTAACTGGATTCCATTTCCTTCATGCAGTTGTCCTTACTAAGGTACAAGTACTTGGCATGCAATACTGCTTGCTCTGCAGGTCCATTTCTACAGCTGCTGAATGAGAATAACTCCCAGCCACTTCAAAAGGAGGTGCCTGTATACAACATTTGCAGATTCAGGCACTAGGAATATGTCCCTTTTAAGAGTACTGTAACACAGATATTTGCAAAGAATCCTCTTTTTAACACAGAAGTACCTCTCTCTGCTGAGGTGGGACAGCTGTTAGCATGTCAAGTCTTAGGCAGGATACTGATTTTTATGAAAACTATTAAAAACAAAAAACTCGCCACATCAGCAAACAACTACAAATTTTGAAAAAAGTCTCCTTATGGACGTCAGATGCTTTCTGAAGAGATCCAAGGAGAGAAGAACAGTAGGAAAGAATCAAGATGAACAAACTCAAACAGTACTCAGCAAAGGTTTCATTTAGAATATTATCATTTGATCAACTATTTTGATCAATAACATCCAAAGTGATCATTCCAAAATTTAGCAAGGTGAAAAATGGTTCCTAATTACTGCATGTATCTTTTACCCTTACAGATATTCAAAGTCCCGTCTGCCTTGGATCCTGATCCGCAGAGTTCATACTAAGTTATTGGTGATGGTCATATATGGCTACAAAAAAAAAATCTATATTCTGTTCTACCTCATACACTGCCTAACTGATTCTTTCTGGTTAATGATGGCTTATAAAGCAGGATTAAAAACACTTGAGATATCAGACGAAGTGAGAGGGCTGAATACTGGATATGAAAGCCAATGAAGCAGAATCATCATGGGAATAGTGACATAAAATTATGTACTCTTTCCTGAGCACAAACAAAGAATGCTTTATTTAAGAAAATATACATTTTTGTTACTGCTCAGAAATATCAAACTGACAGCTCTTGAAAATGAATCCCCCTAATTATCCATGGGACAGATACGACAGTAAGGGCAGTGCAAGCATTTGTGCCTTCTCTAAGAAGGTAACTCAATTATTTCCTGGCATTCCTAAGGTCTAACTCTTGATTCCTAGGGGAACTCTTGTTTCTCATGTCTCAGCTCCTCGTTCTTAAATAGCCAGTCCTTTGCTCTATCATTTCTGGTTGCCAATATTCAGATTCTGAATTAAAAAAAATCTAATTGTATAATTCATGAACAGATTTATGGTAACAGGCTCCTTGACAGAATCCCACCTTAGAATCCATATATGGATCACAAAGAGGAAAAGGAATCCTATAAAATACATGCCTTGTAATGGGTCTTCTCTTTGTTGCTAACGGTGTGGATAGATGCATCTGACTGGACTGCAGCTGAGACATCCCAGCACCTAGCTGACCCTTGGCTGCCATTCTGATGCCTAATGGCACTTACAGCTTAACTTTTAAGTCTCAAGTTATATTTCAAGACTGGCTGTAGAATGAGAGAAGTGAAAATCAAGTTCACATACACATATTATCTTCTTTATAGGGTCAGCAGCTGAAGATAATGGCCCTTAAATTTCCAGATAAATTTTTGCCATTATAACAGACAAAAATAAATGCCATGCTCAGAAAAACACCTTATTTGCTAAAAAAACCCTACATCATCAAGATTGTACCGCTTGAACGCTGAACGCAGACGTTCACTAGCCTAGCAAACGTGTCTAATTAGCCTACTATTCTGACAATTCATGGACTAAAGAGCACTTAATATGATTCATGACAACTATGACACAGGCACGTTTTAAAGTCTATACATTTAAAGTCTATACATTGATTAGAGACAATGCAAAAGTATGTGAAGCTATAGTTTTCAATAACTAGAAAACAGGGTTTTTTATAGAGTTAATAATTTGGCTCTTGCACAAAACAATAAGGGAATGATTTTGGCATCACAAATTAAATCAGTTATGCGCACCGGCGATCTAGGTGATATCCCCAACGACTGCGTCTCCTGTGTATCCATCAAATACGGGATGGACACCTGTCATTCTTGTATTTTAATTTCTTTACTTTTAGCAGTTTTAGAACAATATGTATCAGTATTGGTGTTTTACACTTAACTCACAACCTCATACAGAATTCATGACTGACTGCTGGCAGCTGTCCACTACTCAGGGTGATTTGGGAACTATCTTGAACTAAGAAGACTGGATAAAATTCATCATCAGGGGAAAAATAACGCTCCACTTCTTTGCCTTTATTTTGATGGCTTTACCACAAATATCCACAGAAATATTTCTGTCTCGTGTATAATGTCCCAGCTCATTCTCTATAATTCACAGATGGTATTGTAACTAGCAAGACTGCTGTATGACAGCAATACACTGCTGTAAAGGAGTGGAGCATGCCCATTAAACTAGTTTTTATATAAATACAGTTCATCTATATGGTCATGAGTAGCTGGACATGTAACAGTTTTTAAAAATGGATTCTTAAGAGTAAAGCTTTTTAAGGAAATACATAGGCATCTGAAGAAGGCATCCAAATCAGTTCTCACTGACACCATGACACCATGAAAGTACTGATATTACCAAACTTCAGGCATCTAACTTCAGTAGCTGAACTCTTCCAGATCCATATCTTGAAGCTCCTCCAACAAGCCATGACCCTAGCTTTCCTCAGGAGAAGCCTATCTTTCTCTACTGATTATATGCAGTAAACATGGTTTAAACAACATGAGCAGATTTTCCATTACCACTAACCCCGAAAGGCAGGTTCACTGTACGTTCACCCTTAGTTCTCACAGTAGCATGAAGGACACTTACATTCACAACAGACTCCTTGAATTTGATGTGAAGTCTGTAATTTGAAAGTGCAATGATGGCATCCTCTGCTCGTCCTACGTACTCTGTACTCTCACCATGAAGTTCAATGAACGGGACCTTCAGAATGGGAAGAGAAACCTTTTAGAAAGCATTTAACAAAAATCATGTACCTCCTGTAAACATCCGCTCAGGGATACATCATCAGAAAACAAGCTGAAACACTGCGAAGGGCCTAGCTTAGCTATTATTGCTAAGAAGAAAAGTTTCTAGTAAGGTTGGTTCAGAGGTTAACTGTAGCCTTTGTTTTAAATGATTCCTCATTTTCTCTTAATTTTCTTGAGTAGTATGTTAAAAGGGTTGCTTGTCTGTTAAAAGGGTGAATGTTTATGAAAATTTTGAGCAAAATATCTTCCCATTTTGACAAACAGTCTAACCTCATCATTTATGATCTTACTCTTTACTTAACGGAGAAAGGCATTTCACATGGTGATTAAATTCATCCTAAAGAAGGCAAAACATGTAAGATGAATAACCTTCTATTGGCTATTTGTCCCCAGCATTCACTAAGCAAGCCCAGATGACTAGCTTAGGTATGTGAGTACTTAAGAAGAAAATTTGTTTCTCCTATTATTGTGCTGAATTGGAAATTCAAATTCTACAGGAGAGGCCAGACAATACATATAGCTCAAGCACTGTTATTGTGAACTTAACTGGCAAGGAGCAGCGTGGTGATTACCTGAAGGTTTTCATCCTCTCGGATCAGCTGCTTCCTGGGAAAAATCTGATTAGCCTGGATGCATTCAAGGCTGTGCTGAGTCTCTTCATCCTGAGAAACAAAGCTTTACAGTTACCTTCAGCACTGTCATAGACTTCTTCACCACCCAGCAGCCTATCAATAGCCAGTGAAAAACTCAAACAGGATGGACTGTTTAGAGAATTCAGCTATCAGTAACTTACTGAAGCTACCAAACTTACAAAGACAAGCGCTCACACAACTCAATATGGTATGAGAAACAGGTTTTCTTCCTGCAGCATGAATAATAAAGTCATAAAAGACAAGGACTTGTAGGAGTATTATAAAAAAAAACATTAGCCTGAGCCTAGTACTACACTTCAGATTCTACAACCCCACACGTAAACATTAGTTCTCTAATGCTTTTCAGATTTTAGCCTATTCTGCTCTGTAACAGTCCCTACAAAACCCTTTTGCTTACCATGACAGGCCCTTGATAGGAGGAGAAATCCTCGTCTTTACTCACAATACTTTGAGGCTCTTCTTATTATTAAAATCTGGAAAACCAGAAAAGCATAAAGATGAAGACAAATTCATTTTCTTTTGGCAAATAAATACAGATTAACTTTTAAAGGTTGGGAATACAGCTATCAGAAAACCCCAAGCAGACAGTAACTATGAAAAAATGAAATTCATATAAACTAATTCTCCCGAGAGACAAAATGGTCTAAAAATGTGTCCGATCCTTCTGTACCTTCTGAAAAATCATCATTAAACGTATGGCCAGGAGAATACTAGTCTGAATGTTGCAATTAGACCACTCCGTTTATATCCGTTAAATTAAAACATTTTCATTTTTCTAGATCACCCTGAATTTTCTCCTGAGTCATTTGCAGATGGTGATTCACAAACACAGAGGTTATAAAACCAAAGGGATGGTTGTGATCATTTAGTCTGCTATGTAACACAGACCGTAGGATTCTCCTTAACTAATTTTTTTCAACTACAGCATATGCTTTAGGAAGAAGATCTATTTTTTATTTAAATTGTCAGTGACAAGGAAGCCATCTCCGTTTTAATAATTTGTTCCATAAGTTAACAACCACACAGAAAGATCTGCTTCTTATTTCCAGACATAAAACATAACCTTTGCTTCTTCGAGCCTCTGAAGATTATTAATATCTTTTTCTGTTAAACTTAAGCACCCTTTATCACCACATTTATTTTTCTCACATGAATACTTGCTACCTTTGATCAAATTACCCCCTAAATCTTCTCTATGATAATCAAAGAGATTGAGCTCCCGGAGTCTTTCAGAAGGTGTACCTTCTAATCTTTTTACAGTCCTCATAGCTTCTCTCCGTACTCTTTTCTAATACATTAAACTCCATCTGACCTGCAGGCACTTGGACTGGACACAGAAGTCCAGCAGCCGTCAAAACAGTGCCAAACTGAGAGTTAAAGAAGTTCCTCACTCCTCGCCCATTTTCCCCTTCTTATATATCTGCAGACTGCATTACCCATTTTGGCTACAACACTGCGCTGGTTCCTCGTTTTTTGCTCACTACTCACTACAGCACCCAAGTCATTTTCACAGTTATTATTTCTGAGAACAGAATTCCACATTCCATAATTATGACGCTTTTTCTATATGTATTAAGATATACATTTTCTTGCACCTACCCTTCCAAGAGCTTTCGACCACTCTGTCTGACTGACTTGTACTCTCCATTAAGAAGCCCCCAATCTTTTATCATCTGAAAATTTTCTGAAAATATTAAAAAGCATAGAGTCATGAAGTTTGTGCAACCGACCCTATTAGGAACTGAATGACTGAAGTGAATACAATATAATTAAATCTTGAGCTCCGCTATTCAGTTTATAATTTAGGTAGGTTCTTTCCTTTTTTAAAAAAAACATACAGACATTTTATGGGTTTTGCTATTTACGTCACATAAAAGATATAAAGTTAAATATAGCAATTGAATATAGTCAGTTCTCAGGTCATATGCCATCCCACTTATAAATACATTTGGAATTACCAGTGTTGTGGTTGACAGAAAAAACCATTTCAAATTCATCAGCCCACAGGCACAATGACACTGCAGGAAGTGCTAACTATATTCTGTATATTGTACAGAATATTTACAAAGGGAAAAGGAGCAGCAGATGGATGTATTCTGAGACTAGAACATCCCACTGTGTAAAACTGTGTAACAATCAATGAGAAAGCACTGCACTGTCCCTGAAACCTCTGCTAAATATGACTATTCCAATAAACAGAATGCTTTTATGCTCCCAGAGCAGGCAAGAAGCAGCATCCAAAGGCTTGCAAGTAGGTTCAAAATCCCATAGTTAATTACAGTATCTAGAATAGATACTTGAAGGAATAGTGTCAGAGTGCAAGACAGAGTAACTCTTAAACGCTAATATCTACCGCATGAGACGTGGTGGTGCTCCTGAGGCACCGGTTTGGTTGTGGCTCCCCCAGCTCTGCTGAGTTCTCATGCTTGCAGACTGGAGCAGCAAGGAGCAAGCTCAGAGTGGTGAGTCGAGGTAACTGGGGAGGTAATTCAGATTAGCTCAGAAAAGTCCAAAGAGAGAAAAGCCCCCTGTGCCTGCATTCACAATCACTTTTTGCTATCTCATAGCCTGCTTCTCCACTGCCAGTCTCAGGCACTGGGTACCCGCAAGCCAGAAGGGCAGGGGAATAATGCAGGCAGTGACGGAGACCGGGCTCAGACAGGAGACAGGAGGAGGCTGAGCGGTGGCAGAGGTCTGGGCTGGAGATGACAGCAGGCAGAGGACGTTTCTGAGCTGGGAGTGGGGCTGTCGAACGATTCGAAGCCTGTATTATCACATCAGCCACCCTTTCCACTCAGCTCAAGACTTGGTATTTATACAACTCAAAACAGGAGCTCAAAATAAAGCAAACCAGTCTTAGGCTAGATGGAAAAACTTGGAACTCCTGAGCCCTTTATTTTAACTAATAAACCACATGGCTCCAGATACTAATAAACAAAACCCAGGCTGGGTCCTGATTGGAGTCCGTTATATACCATACTACTAAACAGTGAAATTCCTTAAGCATTTTCTGCATTATAGGGGAAAAAATGTATGATTATAGGAAACTTCAATGTAGATTACCAAGACTGGAGTTCAACAGTAAACACATTCCACAGTAAAATATCATGGGAGTTAAAAAAATTATAGATGATATTTTTCTAACAAATTATATTGCATGCAACACAATGCAACTTTCTTCTGGACTTCATTATCACAGAAAAAGATTATTGTTATTCACTGAACTGGAAAATTATGTTTGCCTTGGGCTTAAAAATCATGGCTGTATTACACTAAATAGGGCATAAATTGAGGGGAATCTCAACCAGTAGCATGTATAATTGTTCAGAAATATACCTGTACAAAACTCGAGGAAGATATGAGCAGCACTGAGCTGGAACTGCCACTAATTCATTGAAAAAATAAAGGAAATATTAGATATAAGAGCACATTTTTAAATAAAAAAGAAAAATAAAACCTAGAAGATTTGATAGAAATCTGCAGCTGTCAACTAAGCAAAAAATGATCAATAAGGAAAAACTGAAAAACCAGCACAGAAATTTCCATGACTGCAAGAATGAAGACGAGCAAGAAGATTCTTTTAAGTTATTAGAAATGAAGGAAATCTAGAAATGTTTTCTGCCAACAGCAGGACGAAGAGAGTCTTATTGTTAATACTGATTTTTAAAATTCAGAATTATTTAATAAATATTTTTGTTTCAAAGAAGCGGGAGGACGAAAACAGTTCCGTATGACCTTCATATGAATATGATGAGTTCCCTCTGTAGCTGAGAAGAATATTCAATGAATCACAGTGATTAAAGCTAAGCAAGCCAGAAATTCATCAGGTTTGACTTCTCATATCTCAGAGGTCACAAAATTTCAGCCCCTATATTCAAACCAAGACCTTATGCTTGATTACAGCACAACTTGGTATTTTATGTATGCTGTGTTTGCTTCAGCATACCTTCCCCCAAAAATCTGTTCTTGACTTGAACATATCAAGAAATGAGGAATACTGCAGCTCTCTCAAAGGCATCTGGTTTCAGCTTCTAACCTTTGGTTCTGACTATACGTTTCTCAGATTAAGTGATGCACCTGTGTCCTTGATCTACAAGACTTAAAAAGCTTCCTCTTGTTCAATGAAACCTCCTGTGCGATGAAATTTAAAATGATGGCTGGCTAAGTGACAGGCTTATTTGTCCAATCAACGTCTGTCTTCAAGTTCATCTGTCAAGAAAAGGCACAGACTGGATTATCTTTGCAGCATCTCCTGATATAATGAAGATTAATGATTTAAGAGAAGATGGGTTTAAAAACTGTAAGACTTAACACAAATCTCCTTCTCCACCCATAAAGCAATTATTAGCTTACACGTTCTTTGTCACGCCTACAGCCAGACAGAAGAGGGATGAAGAGTTACAGCATGTTTAGATAAATACCTCTGAGGAAAACATCTGTTACCACTTCTGCAGGCTGCTGAAGATGGGCTGGTGGCATGACTGCCTTCTGTAGCCAACTACCTTCTCACCAGCATGGAGCCTGCTGTTCCAGCACCAGCAACCGCAGCTGAAGCGGTTAAGACCAAACATTTCCGGATCAGTCCATCTAGATAATTTAGATGCTGTTTGAACATAGCTTTAAACATTGACAATAAAGCCTTCTAAATAGAAAAAATCTACTATGCTATTTCAGAAAATTCCTTCAACTTCAAGCACGATTAATAAAGAAATAAACACCTCATTAAAAAGATAAGCTTTATTACAAATCTAAAGCATGCCTGGTGGCACTGATGAAAAGTTTAAATTTATTAGGCACTGTGTTGTGACAAAATTATTCTTTTACACTTTGGATTGGTAAGGCATTTGTTTTTAAAGTTTAGCATACTAACCACCTACATGTTAACAGAAAAAATATTAACTTAAATAAATAGCTCTTTTAAAATTTTGTACAGTTGTGATCCTAAAAATCCAACATGAACCATTAGCGGAGACTATTCAAATAACTACAGAACAACTTTCTTAATCGCAACTGCTGTATTCAGCTGAAAAATATCTTCTTTTATACAATGGGTGCATACAATAGAATTTCCCTTTCTTAAGTGAATTTTGGCAAAGTTGTGTGAGCAAAAATATAGCGGTTTCCATTTTAATTATGATTATCAGATATAAACTGTGATATTGCCAAGGTAAAAGGTACAATAACTTATAAAACTGTTTCCAATATGAATACAGTCTGTGCGCTCATGCTGCTTCTTGAGGCTAATTAAATGCTTCATCACCTTAACTGCTGTTAACGCTAAAGTATTTCTAAAAACTCCTGGCAAATACAGGAAGAAAGTTTTTGTTAGAATGAACCTCATCGATCGGATGGCAAACAAATCCATCTAAAGAAATAATTCATTTCCCATCACATCAGCAAGCTGATCCCACTCTCCCCACCACCTCACGGTCACTGGGTTCAGTGCAAGAGTGGAAGGAAGCGCACCAGTGGGACCGAGGACAGGCAGAAGGGGACTCGTGATTTTGATTTTGTGACAACTAGCAAGGGGATTTCTGACCTTTGCTGTAAAAGCCATTGCCTCCAAGGTTACATAACCTAAAGGAAAGAGGACATGCTTCATACTGAACTCCGACAAGCTGCTCTGTTGACTTTTACCAAAGACAATTAACGCGCCATGCTGCTTTCAAAGACAGTTTGGTAGGAAATGAGATTAGCGCAAACTGACTAAGGAAATCTATTTGCAAGCTGGCCCATTCCGCATTTTCTGAATAGTAGCTGAATGGAGTCAGAATTCGAGTTCTGTTTAACCACAGCTGACAAATCAGCAGTTCTTCCATAACAGTAAAAAACATTTTCCAGGATCAAATGGAAATCTTCAAATACAGCTTAGATAATAACTGACCAAGAAAAAGTCCTCAAAAAAAAAAAAAACTCTCAAATTCAGGCTTCTATTTATAAACAGGATAGCATATAAATAGTAGATGGCTTAAAAACTGTATGGTGAAACTTGCTTGCACTGTTAGGAATAAATTTTTTGATAAAAGTACAGCCAAAAAAGATTTATTGAGTTATCAATTTCCTGTGCTATCCTTTCAACAGTAGCTTCACATGTGTTAAATTACACAGAAAAAAATAAGATGCTAGTCTTGTTAATTCTCCATCCTTATGATCTGCTTGAAAGGATAAATGATTAGTTGATGTTGCAACCTCAGAATCTGTTCAGCTAGTGTAGGAATATCTTAATCATGTTCCATAATAGGATGTGCCCTCACGTCTAAATTATGTACATAATTGAAACTAGCATTAACCACGTGTTTGCCAGAAATTTCAAAACAAAAAGATGATCAAAACAAAACAAATGATCGTTTAAATTCACATATATTTCAATACAGCTGGATGTGTAACGTATAGCTAGGAAAAAGAAAAAAAAAGAAATTGGAGAAAAGATGAAGAAAAATGAACGATCCAGGTGTTTCACATTCTTCCCCTGCCTTCCCCTTCCAAATGCTGAATTCCATTTATTTCAGTATCATAAGCAAACTGAGTTGACTCTGGTGTCTCAAAACATAGCTATTTGCTGTGTCACAGTTGTCCTGTAAGAGTTCGGATCGGAAGCCAAAGATTTTGATAATGAAGTATCAGAAAATTTCAGCATGAAACACTAAAGAGGGTGATCTTGCTCTAGCAAAAGATGCTTGTTACAGAGTGAAAACACTTCTTCCCTTTTCGGAGGTGGAAGGAAGTTATGCAAAGATGAGGATGAACGCCCAGTTTCCCACCTTTCAAACCTTGACAGCAGGGTTTCCCCTCTTTCCTGCCATGCGTTTAGAAGCAACTGAACACCTCCCAGCAGCATTTACCTGTCAGTAACTAACAATATGGAAATTTATACTTCACTCAGGAAAGGAGCAGGTTATACGGTCACGTTCTCTGTACAGTCAAAAGAGTCCAAACCTTTTTTTTTTTAATTAAAGGTTAAAGGGTTATATAATTCCATTGTAAATTCCACAGCAGCCAAAAAAAAAAAAAGTTTTTTGCCTAATATCTTAGAAAACACTTGATTTAATGAAGAGACTAATCTACAACTGCAGAATCCACTTTCAGCAGGTATCTTGTCTCATCAAAATAACACAATTCACTAACTTACCAAAGAGTAATAGGCAACAAAACAGTCCTCTCTGTCCCAGAAAGTTTCAGACAATGCTCCTCCAATACTTCACATTGGCAGCTGCAAATAAAAAGACAATATTTGAAAACATAGAGCTTAATTTAAAAAGATACTTCTTTTTAAATAGCCAAAAATTGCACAAGAATCTCAGCCGCCAGGCTAGTTTGTCCTAATCAAAGAGGAAAAGTAAAAAAATTACTAATGATCACATTAGAACTCAAAACTACTGAGATCTTAAGACATCTAAAGGAGAAATGCAGCAAGTGGATTCTGACAGGCACGCCTGCTCAGGTTAAGGCCTCACTTCTGGTAGGGAATAGTTCAGAAAACTTGGCCTTAAGGCAATTCAAATGTTTTTCAATGCTCTTCGGTACAGGAAAGTGAAGAAACAAACTATTTAGCAATGCCAGCTACAGGAGAACTCTTTTGCCGTATACAAGCTCCAACTGTTTTTTGTACTCTTTACCAATGCTTTTTAATTTTAAAATACATTAACCTTTTTTTTCAAAAAAGTAGATGATATCCCCCAATTAGTGGCTATTGCCACTAAGTGTTTTGGGGCAAAGCCGCAAAAAAAAAAGTGAAGAAACAAACTATTTAGCAATGCCAGCTACAGGAGAACTCTTTTGCCGTATACAAGCTCCAACTGTTTTTTGTACTCTTTACCAATGCTTTTTAATTTTAAAATACATTAACCTTTTTTTTCAAAAAAGTAGATGATATCCCCCAATTAGTGGCTATTGCCACTAAGTGTTTTGGGGCAAAGCCGCAAAAAAAAAAAAAAAAAAAAAAAAAAAAAAAAAGAGGACAGTTATGCTCTTATGATGCCATTCTTCCTAACCCTTATCTCTTTGAGTTTCCAAATGCTGCACATACAGTAATTTCCTAAAAAAAAAAAAAAAAAAAAAAAAAAAAAAATGTAAGTAGTGTCACAAATACACATTTGTCCAAAAAGTTACATGGATAAAATATCTCATTTGTCTCATGCCTATGCAGTCACTTCAGCAGGTACTCACAGACATCTTCCATAGCAGCCGAATGACTGCTTTAACAAACTTAGTCATATGGGACACAAAGTTCCATACTAAAATACCCCAAACCTAAAATTAAAGCTCCTGACTAAAACCAACCACTCCTAAAGCACGCGAGCAACCAGACCGATGGAATACCACTCCCTTGTTTCCACTATACCAGAAGATTTGCTCTCTGCAATAACTTGGAAACTATCCCAGTGGCATGCTGGACTTATACATGCCTGGAAAGTCTAACTTACACAAATAAATAATCCTGCTGCCAGTAGTTTCCCAGTACTCTGATGTGCCTCAAATAGTGGTAATTTTCACATTCTCGTCCATTAAAAATATCTCTATTTTACATTTACTTTCTCATTTGCATGACAGGAAAAAATAAAAAATGCTTTCAGTACTCAAAAAAGGGATACATAATTTTAGGTCTCAGGTAGTAGAAAAGCATAGTTAAAAAGTGCAAACTTAGAAGGTTCCAACAAAAGGAGCTCAACATTTCATGCAGTGCCCTCACTTTAGGAAAAACGTTATATAAATCTCTATGTTCAGCTCCTATTCAAAAAAAAAGGCACCGTGGAGAGGAAAGGATTTAACATGCTACTGATGATCACAGATGTTACAACCCAGAGATAAGCATGAATTATGATTTTTAAAATAGTTTCTAAAAGCATCATTTCGTTACCTGCAAAAGAGGTCAGCTATTTTCTCTTATGTCTTCCGCAGCGGACAACCAGCAAGCTAAATTCCAATTCCAATAGCTGTTATGGGTTAATGATAATTAAATACGGCACAGGAAGCAAAAAGTACACAGCTTTACTCTGAGGGATGAGGTTAACCATGGAACAAGTTCAGCTTTACAGCTCCTCGCGTGTGTAAAGTTGCCTTTGACGGGAATACTGAGCAAGCTCATTTAAAAAGTTGTGCAGACTACGCAACTCAAGAATGACTTTCTTCAGAGATACTTTTCTGACCAAGCCCACGCTTTCAAAAAGGCAAAACACACATTTGGGGTTGTCGGAGGGAGACTTAGCTTTTGTTTTAGGTCCCACAGAAAACCTTCACAAAATCTGCAACAAACTTTTTCTTGAATTTAACAAGTTTTGGAGGAAACCACTGGATCTCCAGAGTTTTCTAGAGAAGTTTAAAAACAGGAGAAAACGTTCTGATATAAGTGCTAATAATTCCGCTTTATTTCTGCCAGTATTTGGAAACTGCTTCATGCTCATTAGCATTCCTCGGGTAAGGCTGCTAGGCACAGATAAGCACCTAAAATGTTATCACTTCCCAAGGCAACAACTTGTGCCAAAATTTAAAAACAAAAAAAGATGACTGTAAGAAGAAACATGCTACTAACGTTCACAGTTCTTAAAACCCACAGGTAAGCATGAATTGACTTTATAGAACAGTTTCTAAAAGCATCATTTGGTTACCTGCAAAAGAGGGCAACTATTTTTTGATAGGAATGTTATTAGCGTCTCACAATCACTCAAGGGAGGAGCAAACTCCAGGACTGCTATAACCCTTCAATTAACCCAGCTAAGCAAATCTCACAGCTTGCTACCCCTGGGAAGGGGGATCAAGCCTTCCCAGCTGCGTGCTCCCACCATTTCCCTTGCGCTGGCTCTTCCGTTTGTCTGATCCACGGTGAACGCGCTCAGCACCACGATGGGCGCTAGGAGAAGACGGAAAAGGGATGGGACCATCTCTTTTAATAACTCCTACAAAGTACAAACGTGCCGAGTAAGGGAATAGGCTTTACATCACCTTTCTTCCCAGGCTGCCACAGGTACTCATACCCAGTTTGCTTGGCTTGGATTTATTGTTTGCTTTTAAGCACTGCTATTGGGGTTCTGAAGGACCTATTAACCCTGTCCAATTTTAAATATCTAAGAAGTCACTTTGTTAGATAGCTCCACTGCTTAGAGCTGATCTGAATTTGAATACTTAAGCTAAGCTTTTTGCTTTGAACCATCTTCCTGGGATCTCTGTCTCTGTTGACTGTTTAGGGAACTTCGACATGAGGTAAACACTTAAATTAGGATGTGAATACCCACTTCGATCTTGCCTCCACTGAATTTTTGTTGGAAGATGTTATGGAGAACTGGGGAAGCTGGATGATATATCACGCATACCATAATAGTGAAAACTAAGCAGTAAAATAATTAAGGGGAAAATATTTCAGAATAAGGGTTGTCAAGCATTGCAGCAGGCATCCAAGATGTAGAAACTCCGTCCTTGGAGATATTCCCACCTTGATTGAACAAGGCCCCTGAGCAACCTGATCTGACTTCAAAGGTGGTCCTGCTCAGAGCAAGGCAATGGGCTAGAAAACCTCCAACCTAAATTATACCATGATTCTGTGATAACACTTCTGCTAACATTTCTTTAAATGCAACACAGGCAAACAGTTGGGAAAAAACTCTCAAGTAACGTTTTAATACACATGCTTATTTAACTAAAGCTTAGAAAGCTGTCACTTTAGTTTCTTAGCTGAAAGGACATATCTAGCAAAAACAAAAGGAAGATTTGATAAATGGAAATGACAGAAGAGGAGAAAGAATAGCCTCTGGAAAAAAACACCCAAATTCTTATCTTCTCTAGCCATAGAAAATGCTAGCCTCAGAGAGGCGGACAACACCAAACTTTTCTTTCTTCCGACAGTCAGCTATTGTGAAGTTTATTTTCCCTTTGCTAAACTATTGCATTTCTGCATTGGTTATGCCACACCATGTCACAACCTTAACATTATGCAAGCGTGGCTTCTGATTCAAAGTTCTCTATTTTTGTTTACATTTCAAACTCTTTGTTCCCACATAACTCAGCTTTGTAGCGAACAGACCTTCGCTTGCACCACATTATCAGACCTTTACCGTTTTGCCGCCTGTTTGTTCACTTTTTCCTTAGTTTTAGCTCGCATTTTGTCTGCAGTTCTTCTTCTCCTCTCCTTTTCTTTTTGTGCTCTTTCTCCTGGATTCTAACTTGTTTCCCTCTAAAGCTATTTTAACCCTATTCTTAGTTGTACTTTGTTCCTATTCCTCAACGCGTTATCAGCTACATAGCACTTGGGGTGACGCGGTCGACTTGCGGCTGAGCTAAAAACCGCAGAGGAGAAGAGAACGTTTGGCCGGCTGCCCTGAACGCAGTTGCTCCTGACGCTGGATATTGCAAGGTTCCTACTTTATAGGAAATTTTAAAATACGTACATAGAGAAGGAGAAAAAATTGCTGACCTTCAAGGAGGCATTTTCTGGTGTATACTATCCTCTGTCTTCTCCTGTATCATATACTTCCCAAGACTAACTTAGGTAAATGAATTTCCAGTTTAGAAAGCAGTTGAATTTGAAGAAACAGCCATACATATACTCATGCACATCACAGAGAATAAGCAAAGAGAAGAGCCATACTGAATCTCATTTTCTCTTCACTCGGATGACAAACCAGGGTTCCACAGCAGATGCTATCCTGAAAATGGCTTATTCCATTTTTCATTCCACCTGTGCTTCTGTCCAAGCAACAAACAATTATAACCTTATAATTACAGAAGTCCAAAGCACCAAAAAACGTTTTGTCAATGTATGGCCCTGCACTGACTGATAACATTAATGGTAGCTAATTTTATTTTTTGTGGAACCTTTTATAGGTAGGCATATTAGTTTCCTTCATCTTCCCAGTCAGAACTGGCATTAATCTGTTTTTAAAAGTAGTTTGACTAAGCTGATTATCTTTCTTTATCTTTGCCTACTAGTTAAAAAAAGATCAATTCTCTTACACTCTTCAAGAATTGATTTCAGAAGTAACTGCTGAAAGATAGAATGAAAAGTGTGTTAAAAGCAAAGATTCAAATGACAGGAGAATCAAGTAGGAGAGGCAGCAAAAGCACCTCTAAGACTGCTACTATCTAAGAGCTAATGGTAACAAAGAAAATTTGATCTTGCATTAGGAGAGATCAATTTCTTCCATAAGTGATGTAAAGAATAAACATTAGTGGAGCTCCAGGGGGGATTACAGTAAATTCCAATAACTTAGAGATTCTTAAGAAAAAAATGTTTGTATATAAACCAGGGTATAATTCACCTGTCCACTAAGTTCTTCCATCAAACCAATGTAAGTCTGAAGTTTTGATTATCAGTCCATTCTCTTTTTTCCCTTTTCTTTCAATTACTTTGCATTCCTTAACTTTACTTGCCTAACACAGATAAGTAACGTCTGCGAGAAAGACGGAAGAGCTACATGGATCAGTGTGAACTGCGGAGAGACTTGCCAAGATGAGATCTAAACTTGATTTTCGCACATAGGAGAGCTCAGAGGATGCAGAACTCTCACCTGAGGCCGGAGCCGGCAGAAACAAGGGGACTCGGTACATTTTACGTTCTAGGCTAGAAGGGTGACTGAGCGGGTTGCGCAGGGAAAATTATGTCAAAAGATGACAAAAAGAAAAAATCAGGAAAGAAAGTAGGGCAACACTAGATTGAAGAGAGAGAATTGAAAGAGCACCGCAAGGGAGTAGCACGCTCTGTGCACTTTCCTTTTTGCCACTAACGTTCACGTTGCCCATTTGCCGCATTTGCCAGAAGTCAATACTCTCTCACCTTTTTCCTTCCCAGGGAAAAAAACCCAAGCACGCAAGGAATTAAAACAGGGAAAAGAGCAGCTTGCTAAAAGAAGCCTCTCAAACATTTTACACATTCTCCCCAAACACCTACTCAACCCTCTTACCCCCTGCCAGAGTATTTCTTTCTTTTACTTGGCCCTCTCTGTTAACTAGATGAGCCCGGAAACAAAGGAAGATATTGCTCCCTGGAAATCTCAATATACAACACCTGCCACAACAGACTCCCTATATGCTGGATTTCCTTGTCATCCATCGCAACCTTAGAGAGAACAGCAAGTCACGCAAAAAGAAAATTTAAAAATGGGAAGAACTAAGGGTGCCAGGAGTCAGCCTGTTTTGAGGAGTTTGACTTACACTCCCATGAGATATTTTCCCACAGAACTACTTCTGGGCAATGCATATCCAGTTGCAGCTATTAGCTCTTAAGTGTATAAACTGACCTCGTCTGCACCATACTTCGTTTTGGCGCAAAGCTTTTAAGACCTCTTTAACAAGCACCAGTTAATGTTTTTGCCAGAAGACAATTTGATTTAAATACCAAATACTTGCTATGAATAATTCATATATTTACTTCTCAAAACATTACGGGCTTTAAAGTTGCTACAAGACATCCATAGGAGGAACCTCAGTCCCTCAGAAATCCGCAGTGCTATTCCTCTAATAAGCTATACAGGAAAGACAGGACACTGAAAAGCCTCTCTTCTGCTATAAAGGCCTATAACTAGAGGCCATTTTATTTTACTGCACCTTGCACAACATTACTATAAATCACTTAAGTTTTAATCCATAAATTCTTAAATTGCGCAGAAAAAAAAAAAGGTCGTCATGAAACCCGTTCAGGCAAGAACCTGCACATATGCCATCGCTATTCTCTCCATCTCGGAGCAAAAGGCCACCTGAGGGGCTCAGTGGAACAAACGTGCACTGGGCAGCGCCTTGGGCAGGCCTAGCCTACAGGAGGGCAAAAGTCAATCTCGTGTGGCCTAACTCAACACCAGCACTTGGGAAAGCTGTGGCACGCTCCAAAACTGTTTTTATACCTTTTGCTTTCAAGCAGCTTGTGCTTACATACAGGCTACTCAATATGACATTTTCAAAAAGGTGTTTTTTCTAAAAACAAATAAAACACCCAAGCATGCTACAGTTCAGGTTTCAGGTCCCTGAAACAGGCTGAGCCATCAGAGGGGAGAGGGTCCTGCTTCCCTATTGCCCCCCGAACTTGCACTGACATCTTACATCCCCGTGACTGTTCAATTCGTGGATGCGGTATAGAACTAATCCGGAAAGACCACCATAGGATCAGACCACAAAAACAGCCAGGTTATAACACCACTGGTTCTACAACTTTGGAGCTGGGGTTTGATTTTAAAG